CTTCGGTGGTGCCCCAGATTCCTAATGAGTTAATTGTTACATTATTAATTTAATAGAGTTACAATTAAACGTAGTTAGTTGATTCGATAAATAACAGTCACCATATTAATATAAGTCACGTCATGACAGCTCATTCGAGAGAAGACAACCTACCGCGTTATGACATTGGCCATTATTGAAATCTGACATGTATGATAGATGTTTTCGGGATCTAAAAGTAATCTTCCTATTAACTTCCAGAGTAGTGAGAGCGGCTTCATCACAATGCTACGTCATACCAGCTGTATTTCTGCCTGTGTGAATGGCAAGATCTCATGATACACATTAAAATATGAAATGACCCGGGAATTGATAGAACATCACTCAGAGATGCCTGAAAACCTAACCCTTAAATTAACCCAGTCTGAAGTAATGCCTTTATCTTAACCATAGAGTTGTTTCTGTGTGCCTAATATGCCTAAAATGTTTGGAGCTCATGAGGGAGATGTTTGGCTAAATACAGGACGTCGCCACTACAGGCAACGTTGAGCACTATTACCATCAAGTAGGCTTGGGTTTTGCTAGGGTGTTGAGGATGGACCTAATCTGAGAGCTCCGGCTCCGAGGGTCACGTGTTCAATCCCAGTGATAGGCACTCTAAATTTGACGTTTGTGGAAAAACGTCTTATTCTGAAGTGACAGCTTGTTACCTACACACACACACTTTGTTTTTGTGAAACTTCAGGACTTTTTTGAGTATAAAAATGGTTAACCATTAAAAATCCTATTTTCCCTAACCCTAATCCTAATCGTACACCTAACCCTTAACCTAACCCTAACCTTAACCCCAAAAACCCTAACCCTAAACCTAACCATAACCCTAACTCTAAACCTAAACCTAACCAGACTGACTTGCAATATGCAGACAGAGCAGGAAGTTGCAATAGACCCGTGCAACCCAAGGTTTGATACCAGCACAAACAGAAACCCTCTTAAACCTAACCCTAAACCTAACCCTTAAGCTTAAAATAGTCCTGACTTTTCAAAAAAGTAATTGTTTTCCTACCTTTTCAGGACATTCAGGTGAAATGTTAGGACATTGGGGTCCTGATAATGTAGGAAAACAAGTACACACACACAAACACCCCCAAGGATACAACAAGAACATTACATATATCTGACAATATATAACTATTGGTCTGTTTGGTTGGGAAGTTCATAGTTAGCCTACATCAGGTTATTCTGTTTTGTTGTACTGTAAAATAATAGGCCTGTTCAATCAAATCAATCAATCAACGGTATTTTATAAAGCCCTTTTTACATCAGCAGTTGTCACAAAGTGCTTATACAGATACCCAGCCTAAAACTCCAAAGAGCAAGCAATGCAGATGTAGAAGCACAGTGGCTAGGAAAAACTCCCTAGAAAGACAGTAACCTAAGAAGAAAACTAGAGAGGAACCAGGCTCCGAGGGGTGGCCAGTCCTCTTCTGGCTGTGCCGGGTAGAGATTATAAGAGTACACAGCCATTAAAGGCCAGATCGTTCTTCAAGATCTTCAAACGTTCATAGATGACCAGCAGGGTCAAATAATAATCACAGTGGTTATAGAGGGTGCAACAGGTCAGCACCTCAGGAGTAAATGTCAGTTGGCTTTTCATAGCCGAGCATTCAGAAGTCGAAATGATTTGATATTTAGATATTGAGATAGATACTCATTATCCTCTCTCATTGCCACACCTCAAAATAGACAAGAACAGTGGAGTTGTCTTGGTGATCTAATTTCCATTTTTCTAATTTGTATGGCAGGTTTCCAACATACAGCACTGGTAGCTGGTAGGTTGGGATGTTTCCAGGGTATGAAAGGATTTGGACATGTATCTTCTGTATGGTTGGGGGATTGCAGTCCCCCCCTACACACACACACACACACACACACACACACACACACACACACACACACACACGCAGCATCCTATCACCCCAGCTTAACAAACACCCAGAGAGAGGAGAGACTGATTAGAGAGTCCCCAAACAGCCTGTGTGTCTCTCACTGCCCCAGATTTAAAGGTCCAATGCAGCCATTTTTATCTCAATATCAAATCATTTCTGGGTAATAATTAAAGTAATTAAAGTACCTTACTGTGATTATTTTTGACCATTTGTAATTGGAAAAAAAAACTGAAACCCCCCAGCAAATGTGCTGTTATTGGCAGAGAGGTTTAAAACTCTCTTTGTTATTGGTCTATTAACTTATACTGCACTCCATCCCACCAAAACAGACTGAAATTTAAAGCGGTCTTTTTAAACAACTCTTACACTAAAAGGGCATTATCGTAATGTTCTAAATTTCACAGTATTATTCCAACCTCATAGTGTGGAAATACTACTATATACAGTGGGGCAAAAAAGTATTTAGTCAGCCACCAATTGTGCAAGTTCTCCCACTTAAAAAGATGAGAGTGGCCTGTAATTTTCATCATAGGTACACGTCAAATATGACAGACAAAATGAGGAAAAAAAATCCAGAAAATCACATTGTAGGATTTTTAATGAATTTATTTGCAAATTATGGTGGAAAATAAGTATTTGGTCAATAACAAAAGTTTCTCAATACTTTGTTATATACCCTTTGTTGGCAATGACACAGGTCAAACGTTTTCTGTAAGTCTTCACAAGGTTTTCACACACTGTTGCTGGTATTTTGGCCCATTCCTCCATGCAGATCTCCTCTAGAGCAGTGATGTTTTGGGGCTGTCGCTGGGCAACACGGACTTTCAACTCCTTCCAAAGATTTTCTATGGGGTTGAGATCTGGAGACTGGCTAGGCCACTCCAGGACCTTGAAATGCTTCTTACGAAGCCACTCCTTCGTTGCCCGGGCGGTGTGTTTTGGATCATTGTCATGCTGAAAGACCCAGCCACGTTTCATCTTCAATGCCCTTGCTGATGGAACGAGGTTTTCACTCAAAATCTCACGATACATAGCCCCATTCATTCTTTCCTTTACACGGATCAGTCGTCCTGGTCCCTTTGCAGAAAAACAGCCCCAAAGCATGATGTTTCCACCCGCATGCTTCACAGTAGGTATGGTGTTCTTTGGATGCAACTCAGCATTCTTTGTCCTCCAAACACGACAAGTTGAGTTTTTACCAAAAAGTTATATTTTGGTTTCATCTGACCATATGACATTCTCCCAATCCTCTTCTGGATCATCCAAATGCACTCTAGCAAACTTCAGATGGGCCTCGACATGTACTGGCTTAAGCAGGGTGACACGTCTTGCACTGCAGGATTTGAGTCCCTGGCGGCGTAGTGTGTTACTGATGGTAGCCTTTGTTACTTTGGTCCCAGCTCTCTGCAGGTCATTCACTAGGTCCCCCCGTGTGGTTCTGGGATTTTTGCTCACCGTTCTTGTGATCATTTTGACCCCACGGTGTGAGATCTTGCGTGGAGCCCCAGATCGAGGGAGATTATCAGTGGTCTTGTATGTCTTCCATTTCCTAATAATTGCTCCCACAGTTGATTTCTTCAAACCAAGCTGCTTACCTATTGCAGATTCAGTCTTCCCAGCCTGGTGCAGGTCTACAATTTTGTTTCTGGTGTCCTTTGACAGCTCTTTGGTCTTGGCCATAGTGGAGTTTGGAGTGTGACTGTTTGAGGTTGTGGACAGGTGTCTTTTATACTGATAACAAGTTCAAACAGGTGCCATTAATACAGGTAACGAGTGGACGACAGAGGAGCCTCTTAAAGAAGAAGTTACAGGTCTGTGAGAGCCAGAAATCTTGCTTGTTTGTAGGTGACCAGATACTTATTTTCCACCATCATTTGCAAATAAATTCATTAAAAATCCTACAATGTGATTTTCTGGATTTTTTTTCCTCAATTTGTCTGTCATAGTTGACGTGTACCTATGATGAAAATTACAGGCCTCTCTCATCTTTTTAAGTGGGAGAACTTGCACAATTGGTGGCTGACTAAATACTTTTTTTCCCCACTGTATATATATAAAACACCGGAAAATTAAGTTTTTGACTGCACTGGGCCTTTAAGAACTCACTTTCATACACACACAAGTACGCATGCACGTACATGCTCATGTGCACACACACACACACACATACCATCTCAACCTTTTATCTCTCTTTTTTCCTCCCTCCCTCTTTCCCTTTCTCGTACACACTTTTTGTGCCACGAGGATTCAGCATTAGATTCCCATATGTTCATTATGCGTCTCTAACCCAATTTGCGCTGTATAACATGGACAGATTCTCTGTGTACCTAGAGAATAGCTGTCTGTTCCAACCTGCTGTTTCTACTGCACCTTCTGCTTCTCTCATCTATTTATCTCCCCACCGCTCCACTCTTCTACTCTGCTCTGTTCCTCCCCCTCTCCACCTTTACCTATGCCTCTCCTCCCTCTCTCCACCCCAACACTCAATCTCTTCCCCTCTTTTCACTCTCCACCTCTATGTCCTCTCCTCTCCTCCCTCACACACACACACACACACACACACACACACGTATCTGAGCCATGAACACATAATTATGGGTTTTCTGTCAGGGGAACAGGGAATAGGGGAAAACAGGCCATCTCAACACCATCTCAGAGTACATTATTTAGACGAGATTAAAATGGATTAGATTACATTTAATCAAATATTCCACTGTAATTTGTAAATATTTCTCATTAAATTAGACACTTTAACATTTTCTGACCTTGGCTTCCCAAAGCACAGATGAAACTCGGATTTACCTCTAATTAACTGAGTTTCTGAATGGTGATACATGGTGTTTTGGGAATGCTCCATTTCCATTTAATTAAGAAAAAATATGTTATAGTGATACAGAACAACTTGTTTTGAAATGCTAGTGTCTTTCAACAGCCGCAGTACAACACAGTTTCAGTTGAATACAGTTTGAAAAGGGAAAGACCCTTTGATTCTAAATCCTGATTGGTTGGAAGGGGATGGTAGTAGGAAATTGGGTGGTTGGTAATTCTGATTGGCTGTGTGTGTTGACAGGCGGGGACGTGTGCATAACGGGTCATGACAGCGGGCCAGTGTTTGAGGAGCAGCCCAGCAGTGTGGTCTACCCAGAGGAACTCAGTAAGGGAACAGTTACTCTCAACTGCCAGGCTAGAGCCAGCCCTGCTGCTATGTACAGGTAAGAACACACACACACACATCAGAGAAGCAGTCATCAGAGAGGTGGGACAGGTACTAAGTGCTCATCTCTACAGCGTTATGTAACTTCTTCCCCTCCCTGTCCGGTAGGTGGCGTGTGAATGGTACGAATGTCCCGGTAGGGGACCCCCAGTACACACTGGTAGCCGGTAACCTGGTGATCAGTGGTCCCCTGTACGGCCGTGATGGAGGCTCCTACCAGTGTCTGGCCATCAACCGCTGTGGCACCATACTCAGCCGGGTCGCCAACCTCAAATTCGGCTGTAAGTACATTAATTTATTCATTTATTTTATATTTCTCTCAGTGTTGAAGCATATTAATCAAGATGTATTGGATCCAAGTTATTATTCATCAAACTATATTTTGTGTAGATATCATCTCATTACATTGATTGGCTTACATAATGAAAAGAAGAAATTGCTCAGTGAGGAGTACACTTTCATCTTGTGGTACTCTTGACTGGATTTAATTGATTTTTTTCCTTGTTTTGTTTAGTTTGTTTCTATCTTCCTGTGATATCCTTCTTTATTGTTATTTTTTAGACCTCCATGACTTCCCTGGGGAAGGGCAGAGCCCACAGACAGCTTACGAGGGTGCAGGTGCCTTCCTGGCCTGTCAGGCCCCCGCCCACTACCCAGGTACACACACAAACACATATGCTCAATCTCTGCTTCCTCTCTGAGTGCTCTCTTGAACTAGTTTGTGGAATGTTTTCATCAATAAGCCCCTATTTATGGCACATTGATTAAGTCTCATTCTCCTCCTCCTCTCTCTCTTTCTCTCTCTCCTTTCTCTCTCTTTCTGTCTCTCTTTTGTCCTCTCATTAGCGCTGTCCTACCGCTGGATCGTTAACGAGTTCCCCAGCTTTGTGAAGCCTGATGGGGGTCGGTGGTTTGTCTCCCAGGTAACGGGCAACCTGTACCTGGCCAAGGCGGAGCTTAACGATACAGCAAGCTACTTTTGTTTCACCACAGTCAACATGGACATCAGCACCAAGAGTACCTTCAGCAAGGCCAACCAGCTCACCGTACAGCCACACGGTACAGGAGTGTGTGTGTGTATGTGTGTGTGTGTGTGTGTGTGTGTGGGTAGCTGAGTAGAGAGAAAATAACTATTCAAGACTCTGTTTCTCTTACATGGTAATTGTGCAGCTTTGAAAAGCTTTTGACATTTCAATTGACAATTTCGGGAAAATGCTATGTGTTTCTCCTCTAAGAGGGGAGACTTGAAGTGCAGGTGTAGCCTATAATTTGCTTTATTTCACATCAGCCATTTTCTCTGTTGTTGACATGTCCGCTCTATTAACCACAGCCAATGCCAGGAAGTCAGCTCCTGCTATCAAAGTGCGTTTTCCAGCAGAGACCTACGCCCTGGTAGGACACACCACCCAGCTGGAATGCTTTGCCTATGGAAAGTAAGTCCCTGATCCATGTTATTGTCCCACAATGTTAGAAATCTCAGATTTTCAAGTTTCATGTTTTAATGTCACATGTATAGTTAAATGCCTTTCTTGCAAGCTCTAACCCCAATAATGCAGTAATCAATAACAATGTAATACTAAAAATAACAAGGTAGAACAAAAACACACAATATATAAAAATAAGAATAACACGATATAGTAAATAAGCATTCTATATACAGGATTTGTTGTATTTCTTCTGTACTCACACACTCTCCCTGCATTCCTCTTCTTGCCTCTCCCTCCCTCTCCTCGCCTTGTACCTTCCTCCCATTTCCTCTACGTCCCACCTCAATGCCTCTCTCCCTCTTTATCCCCCACTGCTTCCCTTCCCTCACCTTAGTCCCGTCCCAAAGTTGCGTTGGAGGAAGGTGGATGGTCTGTTGCCGTCTAAGTCCGGGGCCAGTGCAGAGGGACCCATCCTCACTCTGCCTGAGATGACCTTCCATGACGAGGGCATGTACGAGTGTGAGGCCTACAACTCTGAGGGCCGCGACACACACCAGGGACGCATCACCGTGCAAGGTAGGGTAGAGACACAAACACACACACACACACACAAGCCCAAAACAACAAAGCTTACACTCATCATAACCTGATCTACACTGAACAAAAATATAAACGCAACAATTTCTAAGATTTTACTGAGTTACAGATCATATAAGGAAATCAGTCAATTGAAAAATCATTAGGCTCTAATCTATGGATTTAACATTACTGGGAATACAGATATGCATCTGTTGGTCACAGATACCTTTAAAAAAAGGTATGGGCGTGGATCAGAAAACCAGTCAGTATCTGGTGTGACCACCATTTGCCTCATGCAGCACGACACATCTCCTTCGCATAGAGTTGATCAGGCTGTTGATTGTGGCCTGTGGAATGTTGTCCCACTCCTCTTCAATGGCTGTGCAAAGTTGGTGGATATTGACGGGAACTGGAACACGCCGTCGTACACATCGATCCAGAGCATCCCAAACATGCTCAATGGGTGACATGTCTGGTGAGTATGCAAGCCATGGAAGAACTGGGACATTTTCAGCATCCTGGAATTGTATACAGATCCTTGCAACATGGGGCGGTGCATTATCATGCTGAAACATCAGGTGATGGCGGCGGATGAATGGGCCTCAGGATTTCGTCACGGTATCTCTGTGCATTCAAATTGCCACACTGTCTGCCATCTGCCCGGTACAGTTGAAACCGGGATTCATCTGTGAAGAGCACTCTTCTCCAGCGTGCCAGTGGTCATCGAAGGTGAGCATTTTCCCACAAAAGTCGGTTACGACTCCGAACTGCAGTCAGGTCAAGACCCTGGTGAGGATGACGAGCACGAGATGAGCTTCCCTGGGACGATTTCTGACAGTTTGTGCAAAAATTATTCAGTTTCATCAGCTGTCCAGGTGGCTGGTCTCAGACTATTCAGCAGGTGAGAAAGTCGGATGTGGAGGTCCTCGGCTGGCGTGGTTACACGTGATCTGCGGGTGTGAGGCCTGTTGGACGTACTGCCAAATTCTCTAAAATGACGTTGGAGGCAGCTTATGATAGAGAAATGAACATGATACAGTGGCTTACGAAAGTATTCACCCCCCTTGGCATTTTTCCTATTTTGTTGCCTTACTGTCATGAGCCTCTCACTCCACCGGGTTACCACCTTAATTTTCTTCCACTCTGCTCACCACTCTCTCTACTCAGCCTAACTAGCTCCACCTGTCCCTGCTCTGCTCTGCTCTAATTACTCTGCCAGCTGCGCTGCATTACCCACTACCTCTCCCAGTATTTAAGGCCCTGTCTTTCAGCTCTCCGGTGTCAGATCGTCTGCAAAGCTCACACCCGGAACCTGTTTGCTCGCGCTTCTGGCTCACCCTGGTTTTGTGACCCCGGACCTGCCTGATTTTTGGATACTCTTCTGCCCCAGGAGATCCAGACCTGCTTCTGCCATAACGACTCCTGACTACTCTTCAATCCCGGTAACTCTGACCAGCCTTCTGCCTTGCTACTACGTATTTTGGATTTCCCTTGAACTGTACTGCTGCCTTGTTTCATTCCGCCCTGTTGTGTCTGTGTCTCCCCCCCCAGGACTCTGGACCACCACCACCGGCTTCATAGGACGCATCGCTGCCACTGGGGGGGGCACAGACCCAGCACATTGGACGGGATCCCTGTTACCCCTGGAGCCTTCATTCACTCCCTACTTCCCTTTTCCCTTAAGTTTTAATAAACTTTCTGGTGTGACGCAATTGTGGTCCTCTGGTCGTCTGTCTGAACCGTGACAGTACGATCTGACCATTATGGACTCAGCGCACACTTTCCCCGACAGGGAAACCGATGGAGCATAAGCAGCAGTTCCAGCAGCAGCAACAACAAACTCGCCATGATCATTCAACTCCCTCACCAACCTTACCCCAGCCGTCTGCCCACCAGCCCTGCCCCCGAGTTTACCTGCCCGGGTCATTGCAGCCGCTGCTCCGGAACCCAAGATTGGAAACCCCGAGCGGTTCAACGGCGATTCAACCCAGGTCCGGCCATTCCTGACTAGCTGCCAACTTCAGTTCTCCTTGCAGCCAAGGACCTTCGCCACGGAGGGGGCTAAAGTTGGGTATGCCATCCCTCACCTGAGGGCCGAGTCGACTCTGGGGGAAACAGCAGAGTTCGAACGTCCAAACCCCCGCAGGGCAAAAACCCTTCGACCTGTTTGCTGAGGAGAATGTTTCTCCCTAGGGAGACTTGAATGCAGGTGTACCTAATTTGCTTTATTCACCAGCATTTTCTCTGTTGTTGACATGTCCGCTCTATTAACAACCAATGCCAGGATGCTCTGCTATCAAAGTGCGTTTCCAGCAGAGACCTACGCCCTGGTAGGACACACCCACCCAGCTGGAATGCTTTGCCTATGGAAAGTAAGTCCCTGATCCATGTTATTGTCCCACAATGTTAGAAATCTCAGATTTTCAAGTTTCATGTTTAATGTCACATGTATAGTTTAAATGCCTTTCTTGCAAGCTCTAACCCAATAATGCAGTAATCATAACAATGTAATACTAAAAATAACAAGGTAGAACAAAAACACACAATATATAAAAATAAGAATAACACGATATAGTAAATAAGCATTCTATATACAGGATTTGTTGTATTTCTTCTGTACTCACACACTCTCCCTGCATTCCTCTTCTTGCCTCTCCCTCCCTCTCCTCGCCTTGTACCTTCCTCCCATTTCCTCTACGTCCCACCTCAATGCCTCTCTCCCTCTTTATCCCCCACTGCTTCCCTTCCCTCACCTTAGTCCCGTCCCAAAGTTGCGTTGGAGGAAGGTGGATGGTCTGTTGCCGTCTAAGTCCGGGGCCAGTGCAGAGGGACCCATCCTCACTCTGCCTGAGATGACCTTCCATGACGAGGGCATGTACGAGTGTGAGGCCTACAACTCTGAGGGCCGCGACACACACCAGGGACGCATCACCGTGCAAGGTAGGGTAGAGACACAAACACACACACACACACACAAGCCCAAAACAACAAAGCTTACACTCATCATAACCTGATCTACACTGAACAAAAATATAAACGCAACAATTTCTAAGATTTTACTGAGTTACAGATCATATAAGGAAATCAGTCAATTGAAAAATCATTAGGCTCTAATCTATGGATTTAACATTACTGGGAATACAGATATGCATCTGTTGGTCACAGATACCTTTAAAAAAAGGTATGGGCGTGGATCAGAAAACCAGTCAGTATCTGGTGTGACCACCATTTGCCTCATGCAGCACGACACATCTCCTTCGCATAGAGTTGATCAGGCTGTTGATTGTGGCCTGTGGAATGTTGTCCCACTCCTCTTCAATGGCTGTGCAAAGTTGGTGGATATTGACGGGAACTGGAACACGCCGTCGTACACATCGATCCAGAGCATCCCAAACATGCTCAATGGGTGACATGTCTGGTGAGTATGCAAGCCATGGAAGAACTGGGACATTTTCAGCATCCTGGAATTGTATACAGATCCTTGCAAACATGGGGCGGTGCATTATCATGCTGAAACATCAGGTGATGGCGGCGGATGAATGGGCCTCAGGATTTCGTCACGGTATCTCTGTGCATTCAAATTGCCACACTGTCTGCCATCTGCCCGGTACAGTTGAAACCGGGATTCATCTGTGAAGAGCACTCTTCTCCAGCGTGCCAGTGGTCATCGAAGGTGAGCATTTTCCCACAAAAGTCGGTTACGACTCCGAACTGCAGTCAGGTCAAGACCCTGGTGAGGATGACGAGCACGAGATGAGCTTCCCTGGGACGATTTCTGACAGTTTGTGCAAAAATTATTCAGTTTCATCAGCTGTCCAGGTGGCTGGTCTCAGACTATTCAGCAGGTGAGAAAGTCGGATGTGGAGGTCCTCGGCTGGCGTGGTTACACGTGATCTGCGGGTGTGAGGCCTGTTGGACGTACTGCCAAATTCTCTAAAATGACGTTGGAGGCAGCTTATGATAGAGAAATGAACATGATACAGTGGCTTACGAAAGTATTCACCCCCCTTGGCATTTTTCCTATTTTGTTGCCTTACTGTCATGAGCCTCTCACTCCACCGGGTTACCACCTTAATTTTCTTCCACTCTGCTCACCACTCTCTCTACTCAGCCTAACTAGCTCCACCTGTCCCTGCTCTGCTCTGCTCTAATTACTCTGCCAGCTGCGCTGCATTACCCACTACCTCTCCCAGTATTTAAGGCCCTGTCTTTCAGCTCTCCGGTGTCAGATCGTCTGCAAAGCTCACACCCGGAACCTGTTTGCTCGCGCTTCTGGCTCACCCTGGTTTTGTGACCCCGGACCTGCCTGATTTTTGGATACTCTTCTGCCCCAGGAGATCCAGACCTGCTTCTGCCATAACGACTCCTGACTACTCTTCAATCCCGGTAACTCTGACCAGCCTTCTGCCTTGCTACTACGTATTTTGGATTTCCCTTGAACTGTACTGCTGCCTTGTTTCATTCCGCCCTGTTGTGTCTGTGTCTCCCCCCCCCCAGGACTTCTGGACCACCCACCACCGGCTTCATAGGACGCATCGCTGCCACTGGGGGGGGCACAGACCCAGCACATTGGACGGGATCCCTGTTACCCCTGGAGCCTTCATTCACTCCCTACTTCCCTTTTCCCTTAAGTTTTAATAAACTTTCTGGTGTGACGCAATTGTGGTCCTCTGGTCGTCTGTCTGAACCGTGACAGTACGATCTGACCATTATGGACTCAGCGCACACTTTCCCCGACATGGAAACCGATGAGCATGAGCAGCAGTTCCAGCAGCAGCAACAACAACTCGCCATGATCATTCAACTCCTCACCAACCTTACCCCAGCCAGTCTGCCCACCAGCCCTGCCCCCGAGTTACCTGCCCCGGGTCATTGCAGCCGCTGCTCCGGAACCCAAGATTGGAAACCCCGAGCGGTTCAACGGCGATTCAACCCAGGTCCGGCCATTCCTGACTAGCTGCCAACTTCAGTTCTCCTTGCAGCCAAGGACCTTCGCCACGGAGGGGGCTAAAGTTGGGTATGCCATCACTCACCTGACGGGCCGAGCTCGACTCTGGGGAACAGCAGAGTTCGAACGTCAAACCCCCGCATGTGCAACCTTCGACCTGTTTGCTGAGGAGATGCTGAAGGTGTTTGACCTGGATTCACCAACCGCAGAGGCGTCTCGTGAACTGTTCAGTATTCGACAAGGCAGACGTACAGTCGCAGACCATTCCATCGACTTCCGAACCCTGGCTAGACGAAGTTCTTGGAACACACCATCGTTGGTGGACGCGTTCTTCCATAGTTTGGCTGACTATATCAAGGACGAGTTGGTCTCCCATGAACTGCCTTCCACTCTTGATGAAGCCATCGCACTGACTGTCAGGATCGACAGAAGGATACAGACCCGTCGTCGTGAGAGGGGGCGCCAAGGTCCACCTACTACCGGCATTCGGAGAGATCCGACTGGGCTCCTGTCATCTACTGCCACTCACCCAGGTCAGCTTGATCAGTCTGAGCCTATGGAGATTGGGCGAGCCTCTCTCACTCCTGCAGAGCGCCAGCGCCGCTTCACCTCAAACCTCTGCCTCTATTGTGGAGGTGATGGACATCGTGTGGTAACCTGCCCTTTAAAGGGCCGAAGCTCACCGGGCATAGGGGGAGTCCGGTTGAGTTCAATGACCATCCAGTCCTCCGACCGCAAACCCCTGCTGCAAGTTCACCTCCGCCTCTCTGACTCAACTCACACCCTGGCTGCTCTGGTGGATTCTGGCGCCGAAGCCAACATAATGGACATCAAGCTGGCACGCCAACTGGGACTGGAGAACCTCCGTTTGACACCTCCTATTCCTGCCCGGGCACTGGACGGACACTTACTCGGATCGGTCACTCATGTCACGGCCCCGGTCTCGATGGGTCTGTCCGGAAACCATCAAGAAACTATCCAGTTTCACCTGCTCCCCTCTCCAGGCCAACCCCTCATCCTGGGTTACCCATGGCTCCGCCGGCACAACCCTCAGCTCGACTGGGTGACCGGGGTGATCAGGGAGTGGGGAGAGGACTGCCACCGAACCTGCCTGCTTGCTGCCGCACTACCCCCCTCGGCCAGTACCTACTAACTCCGCTCCTGACCTCTCCAATGTCCCAGAATGCTACCATGGTCTCAGAGAGGTGTTTAACAAAGCAAGAGCCACATCTCTGCCCCCTCACCGACCGTACGACTGTGCCATCGACCTCCTCCCTGGAACAGCCCCTCCTAAGGGTCGTCTTTATTCGTTGTCTGCTCCTGAAAGAAAGTCCATGGAGGACTACATCAATGGCTCTCTGTCCGCAGGATTAATCCGTTCATCTTCATCTCCTGCTGGTGCTGGCTTCTTCTTTGTGGGGAAGAAGGACGGATCTCTTCGCCCCTGCATCGACTACAGGGGACTCAACGACATCACAGTGAAGAACCGTTACCCTCTGCCTCTGCTCACCTCTGCTTTTGAGTTGCTCCAGGGAGCCACTGTTTTTACCAAGTTGGATCTCAGAAACGCTTACCACCTAGTGCGGATCCGGGAGGGAGATGAATGGAAAACCGCATTCAATACACCAACAGGCCACTACGAGTATCTGGTTATGCCTTTTGGCCTCACCAATGCTCCTGCTGTGTTCCAGGCTCTAGTGAATGATGTACTGCGGGACATGTTAAACAAGTTTGTCTTCGTTTACCTGGATGACATCTTAATCTACTCCAGAAACCTGTCTGAACACACCCGCCATGTCCAGCAAGTCCTTCATCGTCTTCTGGAGAATTCCCTCTACGCCAAGGCAGAGAAATGTGAGTTTCACGTCAAGACAGTGGCCTTCCTGGGGTACATAGTGGCAGAGGGAAGTATCCAAATGGATCCTGCCAAAGTATCAGCAGTCACTTCATGGCCAGTTCCGGAGAACAGAAAGAAGCTGCAACAGTTTCTGGGGTTTGCTAACTTCTATAGAAAGTTTATCCGGAACTACAGTACCGTTGCTGCCCCTCTCACTGCTCTAACCAGCACCAAGCAACCCTTCACCTGGACCCCAGCAGCCGACAAAGCCTTCAGTACACTCAAGGTGAGGTTCACCTCCGCTCCCATCCTCCAGATGCCTGATGTGGACCGGCAATTCATTGTGGAGGTGGACGCCTCGGATGTGGGAGTTGGTGCTGTGATTTCTCAGTGGGCTGCGGAGGATAGGAAGCTCCATCCCTGTGCCTTTTTCTCACGTCGGTTGTCCCCCTCTGAGTGCAATTACGACATAGGGAACCGTGAGCTGCTGGCTGTGAAGCTTGCCTTGGAGGAGTGGCGTCACTGGCTGGAGGGGTCCACCATTCCATTTCTCGTTTGGACCGATCATAAGAACTTGGAGTACATCCGCACGGCCAAACGGTTGAACTCCAGGCAGTCCCGCTGGGCCCTGTTCTTCACCAGGTTTAATTTCACTCTGTCATACCGGCCTGGATCACGCAACACCAAGCCAGACGCCCTCTCCCGTCAATTCCAGAAGGATGACACCCCCTCCAAGGACCCTGTGTCGATTCTGCCAAGTCCCTGCATCGTTGCAGCTCTGACCTGGGCTGTTGAGGAACAGGTGCTGGAGGCTCTCCGTAACCAGCCAGGTCCCAGCACTTGCCCAGCTGACCGCCTTTTTGTCCCCGAAGACCTGAGGTCCCAGGTCGTTCAGTGGGGACATGACTCCCGCCTAGCTTGTCACCCTGGCTCCACCCGCACTTACAACCTGCTCGCCCAGAGGTTCTGGTGGCCCTCTCTGAGAAAGGATGTACGGGAATTCGTCCAAGCCTGCCCCATCTGCAACCAACACAAGTCGTCCTGCCAGCCCCCAGCCGGATTGCTGCAGCCCCTGCCTGTGCCCAGACGTCCCTGGTCTCACATCGCCCTTGACTTTGTCACGGGGCTGCCCCCTTCAAGTGGCATGACCGTCA